TTAATTAGTTAACCAACCAACCAACCAACCAATCAATCAATCAATCAATCAATCAGTCAATCAATCAACGACCGAACGAACAAAATCTTAGGAAATGCATTCAATAAAGACCTCAAAAGAGCCCTACCTTTGTGACAGACGAAGCTTCGTGTGTGCGAGATTATCTGAAGCGTATCGTGAAGACTGGCCGTCGCTACATCTATGCCCCTACTTAAAGGCAAATTTAGAGTGCGTCATTAAGGAAATATTTCAGTCATAGTAGTTATATTGAGCACTAGTGTAACCATCGCGTGTATTTCCCTGTGAAAAACAAATACAACCAGAAATATCGATGACCACTTTGTGACTTTCATATTGTGAAATATGGGATTATCTTTCGGAACTATCTATCCTGTAAAATAACTTTTTAACATTCGTGATTCATTTCACCACGTATATATTAAAAACGGTTTTACGATCGCCAAAAAAATTAAATGTCCGAAAATAGAAAACATTTAAATACTGGATTTAATATATATATATATCAATATATATATATCAATTTCCTCTGAAGCAATGTAAAAGTAAGGCGCAAAACTCAACTATAAAACTGTGAAATACATCACCAACGAATAATCGTTTTGGTTTGGCTCATCTTCAGTTTCATCAAATATACGTGTATACTTTCTTTTGTCCGCCAGTATAGAAAGTCATGTCACATTGTTCATAGTAATGGCTGCAACCATTAAGTTAAACCTATTCCATATAAGATACCGTAGACAGCAATGTCATTATTACAAAAATATACTATTCCAAAAAAGAAACGCATAACCCAGAAATCTGTTGCGAAAATGTTGTATTTTCAAACATGTATAACTCGTCCACAAATAGACTTTAAGAAATGATTTTTACATCAGTTTAGAAGAAGGTAATGTCTATACAACCAAGTGGATAATTTTAGATAACGGAGACGTTGAGCGCGATGGTGACCACGTAGCATAGTCCCGACGTCGGGTCTCCTGCCTCTCAGTCCAATCTCTCTCAAACTGTTCCGTACAGTTTGACCGGATATTGTCCGAAGTCCAGGTACCTTGGCTGCTGTGCAACCACCCTTGGCAGTACGATCACGCAAATGTAGTACCCGGATGTACCGATCTTGGGCTGCAGTGGTGACTCGAGGTCTGCCTGTACGGGGACGGTCATTTGTTATACCTGTTTGGTTGTAACGAGCTGCAAGCCGTGATATCGTGTAAGACTTACATTCAGACGCCCGGCAACAGAAAATTGGTAATCTCGAACGTGCATTCTTTCAATGGCGATGTTCCGTGTCGCAGCGTCAAGACTTGGCGTAGTGATTTGAGCTTGACACTCCTTCAAAACGGATGCCAATCTCCGAAAGTAATCTGGATTTTTATAGCCAGACAGTCCATGATCTTTGCTGCACAATTTCAACTGGAAGGTGATTTCTGTTGCGTTGTGGCGATGCCTTTTTAATTCTGGTAAGAAATCTCATAAAAAAACAACATTTTCAGGTAAAGTCGAATTTTCACTAATGTGCAATTGTGTAAAATCATGTTATCAACACTTTTGTGTACATATTGTGACGACTGTTTGAACACAATAGGTAATAGATTTTAAAAAATACAAAACGCATATGCGTTTCTTTTTTTGGATAGTATATGCACTGCAAAAGTTTATGATGAAATGCATGAAATATATATATATATATGATTACTGGTTTTGATGACATACTGATGTAGACATGAACTTTTTCGAGGCATAGAAGCACTAGACTAACATCTAGTCTCTGAAATGAGCATACATGTATATGTATTTATCATCCAAAACTGTGTTCCACAGGAGATATCGCTTGTGTGAGATCAAACGATATCTCCTAGGAGATATCGTTTTGACAGTAGATTTTGTACAATGCCCTGACAATGCTATGACGTCATGTACTTGATGACGTCACAATGCTATGACATCGCTGCACTACAAGTCTAATGGCAGTACCATGTTCAGAGATGTACATTTTTCATTGAAAATTAACAAAGAGTGATTTTGGATGATAAATAGAATCTCACCCTCGTGTCTTCTGATATCAAATATATCAACACTCGTTGATAAAGTAAAAATATCCTCGGCAAGCCTCGGATATTTGTAACTTTATCAACTTGTGTTGATATAATTGATATCAGAAGACACTTGGGTGAGATTCTCTATATATTTTACAGAAATGACGGTTCATAAATAATATTTATTAAAAGTAATGAAAAGAAGCCCAGAGACTTTTCAGAACTGAAACTATGGAAATCTAGCCTTGCCACATATTCTAGACTTGCATGGGCTTTCTTGCTTATATTTGTTTCAGGGTCTGTACTACAGATTAATCGGGCTCATGATAACGAAGATATTATTATTTTTTATAAATAATAATATCTTCGTTATCATGAGCCCGATTAATCTGTGGGTGGGATTCTCTATATATTTTACAGAAATGACGGTTCATAAATAATATTTATTAAAAGTAATGAAAAGAAGCCCAGAGACTTTTCAGAACTGAAACTATGGAAATCTAGCCTTGCCACATATTCTAGACTTGCATGGGCTTTCTTGCTTATATTTGTTTCAGGGTCTGTACGACAGATTAATCGGGCTCATGATAACGAAGATATTATTATTTTTTATTATTATTATAGGATATTTATATAGCGCACATATCCACGCACTAGTGCATGCTCAAGGCGCTGGTATTTCCCCCCCTCGATCATTGGATGTCAATCTCAACGGCACATCGCATTATCAATCTCAATTCCCTGGGGAGTATACAACTCTTGCAGCCACTAGGCGCACCGAGTTATTGTGGCTTTCTCATCCTAAAGAGGTACCCATTCACAGCTGGGTGGACTGGGACACATAGTCACAGTACTTTGTCCATGTTCACTGCACGTTGCTGTACCCGCAACTAGGTGTTTGCACGTATTCATGTGGCCACCATCTGATCAAATACCAACGGATTCGTGGGTTCTTTTAAGTGCACAGGGTTGTGTACTGTACACTAGGGGTTGTGACAACACTGAAAGAGTCTGCACAGAAAGTTGACTCCAAGGTTTTTACACCCAGTCACAGGTGGGCTCGATCCCGACACCTCAACCTCGCTGGATCACTAGCCTGGTCCCTTAGCCATCTCGCCCACCGCGCTGATTGGACACTGTTTTTTAAGTGCACATGTATTTTGTCACCAAACCAGGCATCATGATCGTTGCCCACAATTAGGGCATCATTTTTGTTTATGTGTTTCACGTAGCCCCCAAATTCTGAACGTGGGTTGGCCGGTCGGAAAAAAAAATAATAAAGACAATATTATCTGAATAATGTTCTTGCTTCTCATTTATTTCTCATTTATTGTAATTCTTATTTCAATTTCTCGCGTTGTTTGGACTTGTGGCAGCGACTGATTAATAGATTTTAGATATTACATTTTTATATGACGAGGCGGTACGTTTTCGGTTCGAGTCGGCAGTGTTGGAATGAAAAAAGACAATTTTTAGGGGAGGTCGGCAATAAAATTAAAATGGTCGGTCGGGCGATGAGAAACACAGAAAATATAAATGCTGCCCTTACACACAGTTTCAGCGTATAGTGTACACATATACCTTGTGGAAAGATATACCATACCCTGACAGTGTACATGAATGCGTCACGGATCTCTGATAACTCATTTGCTAGCAATGTCCACCAATGTTGTGTCGTTCATGGTCTGAGGTTATATCGTCATCATATTACAAATGGGAAACCTAACAGCCTGTTAGTTCATACATAGTTGATTATTTTCAGCATAGTGAAGCTATAGGATTGTAAATGTAATGCATTTTATGGTCCCCTTACTTCTTGACGAGTTTGACCCGTGAAGATCCGGGTAAGAATTGATCTTCAGTAACCCATGCTTGTCGTAAGAGGCGACTAACGGGATCGGGTGGTCAGGATTGCTGACTTGGCTGACTCATGTCATCGTATCCCAATTGAGCAGATCGATGCTCATGCTGTTGATCACTGGATTGTGTGGTCCAGACTCGATTATTAACAGAACGCCGCCATAAAGCTGGAATATTGCTGAGTGCGACGTAAAACTAAACTCACTCACTCTGGACGAGTTTACACTTTTACACTAAAAAGGTTTGATTTTAAATATGTCTTTGTAATCTTTGATGTTTTAGTCAGTGGAATAGCAATACTTGTGGCTGACAATGTCTCGCTAAAAAAACTAAAAGAACTGGTTGTACACGCACAGGAAGTCGCCTCTAATAGCAGGCGACAATGAAAAGTGTCATCGAGTGATTAATAATTTTACTAAATCAGATTTAAAATATATTTTTAACGAAAAGGTAGCATTTCCATGTATGTAGTATCGATAATTTTAGTTGCATGGAAATCGAGAACTAACAACTACATTTTCAAACAATCCTGCTTGATTATATTTGCCAAGGTGGATATGTATCTCTAACTCAATTTGTAGCTTGAAATTTAACAGACTGAACACTGAGATTCACATAATGTTGTATGTTTACTCATAATAAGAAATAATGGTGAGCGGTGATGATGATGACGGTTATGATGATGATGATGATGATGAGGAGGAGGAGGTTGGTAGTGGTGGTGTTGGAAATGATGATGGTATTATGGGTGGTGGTGGTGATGGTGATGTCGTACATGACACCGTCACTAACATCCCGATGAGACAGCTATTGTCGGTAGGGGCTGGGGGTTAAGTAGGGGTGAAATAGGTGTGACTCGACCGGAAAACGTGAATGCACCAATTCAATAAAAACGCAATTCTTCGGGAATCGACCGGAAAGTAAATGCACCTGAATGCAATCTTACACAATTACTAGGTGACATAATAGTGACTATTCTACTTTCTGTCATGACTAACAGGAAGTCAACCAATATTGACAGTCAAAATTATCGTATAAAGGCGAGGCAAATTGGACACCATTTCATACACAAAGAGAGAGAGTCACGGAGAGCTTCTCAGGTAAGTTTTTAAATGTAATGCGAGCATATTATATTACGATTTTAAACATATGAGTGAACTTGGTGTTATGCCTCTATGAGTGAATGAGTGAGTGAGTGTGGTTTTACTCTGCATTTAGCAATATTCCAGCAATATCACGGCGGGGGACACTAGAAATGGGTTTCACACGCTGTACCCTATGTGGGAAATCGAACCCGGGTCTTCAACGTGACGGGCGAACGCTTTACCACTAGGCGAACTCAATTTACATAGCACGGCGTGTCAGTTTAATGTGTATGTGTGTGTGTTGGGGAAGGAGACCTGGCGTTTACCACTGCGGTGAAACAGGGTTTGGTGCTGATAAACCTATCACAGCGGGGACACCAGAAATGGGTTTCACACGTTGTACTCATGTGGGAAATCGAACCTGGTCTTCAGCGTGACGGGCGAACCACAAGGCGAATTCGGCTACGTCACCCTCCCTACATTCCAGTTATATAGCACGGCGTGTCGGTTTAATGTGTGTTGGGGGCTGGCGTTTACCACTGCGGTGATACAGGGTTTGGTGATGATAAACCTAGAAATATAGTCTGGGCAAACCATTCGAACCCAAAATATTCTTGGGTGTCCCAGGGACGCAACTCTGCACACTGAATTGTGCCCTTTGACGACCCAATTACCCGTATCAGATACAGAAGTAGACTTATAAAAAAACGTTTCAAACGTTTCAAACGTTCCTCTGTGTTACATGGCACATTGGTCAAGTCCAGACGCTTTCTAAAGATTACTACAAAAATATATAGATTGATAGAAAATTTAAGTTCTAATTCTCAAAATTGGGAACTTGCTGATTGTTTTAAGAAACTTAAAGCCTCAAAGTATCATAAGTATTATAACTAAGCGTCAGATGTCAATATACCCATATGATCGCGTTTCTTTACCTTTGAGTATATCAAGATATTGTAAACGTATTATCCCTGTCAGTATCAGTATGGTCCTAATTCTTTACATCCCATTCAAAGATACTCGATAAAAAGGCTGTATAGTAATTCTATTCTTTAAAGAGGCGAGTCTAGATAACGGACATTCCACTTTGACGTCAGTCTGTTAGAGGGACAAGGACTTAATTATATTCATATATTGTTTAGAAATTATCATTTAAACTGTTAATTATTACGCAGAGACTTGTTCTAGTCTACCCATGAACTCTTGACGTAGGAGAGGGATGGGGGGTGGGGTGAGGGTCAGGACGGGTGATTTAGAGATCAAGAAGAAAAAAGATGAAAAAAGAAAAAGAAAAGAACCAAACAATAACAAATCAACCAAACAAACAACCTAGCCTTACTTCCATCTTTAATGTATTACAGAAAATGCGGACAATTACCCAAGTTCAGGTCCTAGTTGTCCTGTCGACACACTCAGTATGGGCAATGGCAGCGATCAGCCAACGAAATCAGCCCGTACAAGATCAAGTCAAGACCCAGGCTCCACTTAGCCAATCAGCATCCTCCTCTCTCAATGCTTATGCAGCGCATGTGCAGGAGCATCGCAGCTCTTACATGAAGTCCGCGATGACGTCAGAGAACAGAGAAGACCACGTGCAAGATTCTGACGTGATGAGCGAGGAGCCGAACAGTCATGATGGCAGGAGGCCAAAGAGAGCTTCTGTACTAGCTGCGGCAATACCAGTTGTAGGGGAATTTTTCCGTAATATTTTTCAGGGTTCGTCAAATACTCCCGACTGTATGACAGAGGCCCAGCTGGAAAGAAAATTTTATGAATACCAGCAAGCGCTGACATCAGGTGTGTCTTCAGTTTACCCTTTGCATTATAGAGATTTTAAAAAAATGATTCCTTTGTAATCACTGACGTTTTAGTCAACGGGACAGCAGTGCTTTTGTCTATCGATGTCTCGCTTAAGGAAAGCGTTTCAGGCGAATCTATACCGAAACGTCACATCACAACATAATAAAGACGTGAAATTGTCATCCTTAATGTATCATACCTTTATTTAGGTAATATTGCTATGTATGCAGTATCGAGAATTTGAAAAATGTTAAATGTACAAATCTGACTATTGCAAAATAATGAGATCCCTTGCATTCATTATGGCCATAGGATCACAGATATTTCAAGTGTAGTTTGTATGGTAATTCTTACTGATCAAGGGGGGAGTTATTGCGCATGCGTGAGTGAGTTTAGTTTTACCCCGCTTTTAGCAAAATTCCAGTAATATCACGGTTGGGGACACAAGAAATGGGTTTCACACATTGTACCCATGTGGGGAATCGAACCCGGGTCTTCGGTGTGACGAGCGAAAGCTTTAACCTCTAAGATACCAAACTGCCCTTAGTGTGTATGGACATAAACATGGTACAGTCGCTTTCCCCTTTGATTGTCTTAATGAAGGGGGGCGGTGGGGTAGCCTAGTGGTTAAAGCGTTGGCTCGTCCCGCCGAAGACCCGGGTTCGATTCCCCACATGGGCATAATGTGTTAAGCCCATTTCTGGTGTCCCCCCGCCGTGATATTGCTGGAATATTGCTAAAAGCGGCGTAAAACTAAACTCAGTCAGTCAGTCAGTCTTAATGAAGGAAGACAAGTATGGGACTTACGAGTTGTATAAGTGTCGGTTAAGGGATTCGAACTCCTGACACGGCTCCCAACCACCCTAGTTGTCTAGCGATTAAGGGTTACTGGTTGCGATTGTGTATTTTGTTTGTGTTATTTTCATAGTTTCACCTTTGTGTCATTCGCAGGTGCCAAGGAAATCCAGGGTTTGCCTGCAATCCTGATGTTTATAGGCGTCAGGATCCTGTACATGGTGTTGGGGCTCCAGATGTCATTCTAGAAGTGTATGCGAAGACAAAACTGGCTTAACAGTTCATTATACATATATAAAATATTTTGTTGTGGGTTATATATATTGTATACAGTATACGTACCAGTTACATATTTTCAATTATTTTGTAGACGTATTACAAACTAAAGTTGACCGCCTCCGTGGTGTAGAGGTTAGAGCGTCCGCCCGGAGAGCGGAAGGTCACGGGTTCGATCCCCGGCCGCGTCATACCAAAAGACGTTAAAATATGGTACTTGTTGGTCCCTGCCTAGCGTTCGGGATTAATGGGTACAACAAGGACTGGTCGGCTCGGAGTCAGTATAATGTGTCTGAGTGGGGTATTCATGCTTCACTGCGGCTTGGTATTTCACTTGGCTAGCACTATAAAACCAGCTTCAGTCTGGGCTAGTACAAGCTGCACATGCACATACACATGCATGCACGTCGTCATATGAGCAAAATATTCTCAAGCACGACGTTAACCCCAATTTCACCTCATCACACATACTATAGTTACATATTTTGTATACATAAGCTTTTATTATTTGTTTAAGTTTTTATTTATTAATTTTTTTATTTAAATTAATGTTTTGAGTTTAAACAGGTATTAACTGTTCCTGTATGAACAGGGGTCATCGGTGAAAAATTCAAAACGACCCAGAGAATACTTGAAAATACATTGTTTTAACTTTTTTATTTAGGTTCACTTTCGATAAAAAAATCTGCTTTTCCAACTGAAGCTGAAGAATATACCAGTCTTTATGCAAAATTAACACATGTCTTACAGCACACATATTGAAATATATCTGACACGGATTTTTGTACCTATATATGTCAAACGAAAAAAAATATAAAAAATCTGATAATTAGATAGCTGTTTGTTTTCTTTTCTGAGTTGTGATAGTAGTCGACTTCTATAGTGTTATTTAATCAAAGTGGAACAACATACAGAATGTCCGTGCAATGGAATACATATGGGTGAACATTAAATCGCTTTTCAATCTCCTCAAATCACTGTACAGAGTTGCGTCCCTTGATGGAATCATGATCTGTTGACTGTGGCTTTTAATCGTAGATTCCCACATGCTCAGTGAGAATAACTAAAGTACTGTCGGAAATGCTAGAAAAATGCTTTTTAGCCCTAATACTTTGATAAAGGTGATAAATGTACTATGTTGTCAATATATCAACTCGCCTATAGAGTACCTAATTTTTATTTCAATCGATTTAACATTCCCATGCATTTAAAAGGGCAGTTTACAGGATAGAATATGGTACCAAAACAACAACTACCCGTTATTTTTTTAAGTTTTTGGTATTTTCATCAGTAAAAACACATTTTAAGTCATATCTTAAAATTTATTCCCTCGGTCTACATTAGGTAGATGTTTCCTAAAGTGATATTTGTTATTTAAGTAACTGTAATACCTCTGAATTTTAAATAAGTCAAAAAGCATTTTTCTAGCATTTCCGACAGTACTTTAACCATAGCTTTAACTATATAAGTGCCAATGTGGTGGTATTACATCGCATTAGCCAACAAAGTATTTTTGTAATGCCCCGATTCGCACTTAATTCATTTTTAAGCAACATACCCATGCTCGGGGGATTCATTAGGGCCTTCTTTGGGCTGCATAACTGGCTTAAAGAGGCTTAAACCAAACTCATTCACTCCTTCCATTCCAAAGGTGTATCACAGTATTAAATAAGACGTGTCTGCCTTGTGTCAGGCTGTATGAAACATGCATTACTATTTACACCTTAATAATCGCACGCGGTAGGGTAGCCCAGCGGTTACTGCGTCAGATCGTCACGCCGAAGATTCCCCACATGGGTACAATGTGTGAAGCCCATTTCTGGTGTCCCCCGCAGTGATGTTGCTGGAATATTGCATCTCCACTGGAACCCACTGCATTGGCGTATGGACATTGAAATTAGTTCCTGCGAGGCAAACTCATTTGCATATTTATCTTATAATCTAATCAACGAATGTCGATATATGACCAAGGGTCATCAATATATATCTAGTGTTAATCAATATACCAAACATGCGAGTATATGTATTTATTGTATAAAATACGTCCTTGGGTGAGATTCCAATACTAAATAAGATATACACAATAAAATAAAATAGAACACAAATGAGTCTAGCACAAAATAATTTATTCCAAAAAAAGTATTTATTGCTATAACGAAACATTTCTTAGCGATAGTGAGGACGCGAAACAATGCATGGAAACTCGTCACTATGAGTGTATTGGAGTCCACAAACAGCTCAAACACTCCAGATGTATCGTACCTGGAGTATTTTACAATTCAAGTTCATACTGTGTTACCATGGATACGCGACTTGCCAGTGCGATTATCGTGGCACTGATCTCGATACGCAAAACGTTGACCAGCAACACTATACAGTTATTTCCAGTAGAGGTTCTTGAGTCCAGATAAGCTTACAACCCCAGCGCCACCATTGCAAGGAGTGGAATCGCTAAGGACGCCATGGTGACGTATGACGTCGATGCCCCTAGAACAGAACATATATTATCAGTGATAATTCCACAATATATCGTCGTCAGTCTTAACCCTGCAAAACAACTGTAGGTATGTCAGGGATATACTATGCTGCACATGTTAACAGCTTAAATTAAATTAATGAGCTAGAAGACTGACTGACTGAGTATGGTTTAACGCCGCTTTTAGCAATATTCCAGCAACATCACGGCGGGGGACACCAGAAATAGGGCTTCACACATTGTACCCATGTGGGGATTCGAACCCGGGTCTTCGGCGTGACGAGCCAACGCTTTAACCACTAGGCTACCCCAAGCTAGAAGAACATTTATTTTCATTTAACAAGGTAAATAAATAAATAAATAAATAAATAAATAAATAAATAAATAAATAAATAAATAAATATCCAAGTGAGTAAATGAATGACTGAATAAAAGAGACAAATAAAACAGGCCCCAGTTTGTTTGTCTATGAAATATTCTTATATCTTAATGATCAATATATACATGTATATCTATATGTGCGTATATATATATATATATATAAATTATCATATCTGTGAGTGAGTGAGGTTAGTTTTACGCCGGTTTTAGCAATATTACAGCAAAATCACGGCGGGGGACACCAGAAATGGGCTTCACACATTGTACCCATGTGGGGAATCGAACAGGGTCGTCGGCGTGGCGAGTTAACGCTTTAACCACTAGGCTACCCCACCGTCCCTATCATATCTGTGATATACACTGACCACTGGTCTCCAGAACCTGCATCATTTGGGCCACCCTCTGTGCACTTTCAGCATCTCCGAAATCATGCTGCTTGTCTCGCAAGTCAATGAACTTGTTGAGGATTCCTTTGGCCACTGTCTTCTTTAGTTTTTTCAGACCGGAGAGGACCAGCTTGAACTTATCCTTTGCCAGACCGAAAACGGAACCCAGAGTTCTGCTAAATCCTGACTTCAGGCCCTCCAGAATACCCTTCACGCTGTGTTCGATGCGACGGTTCCAGGTTCGGTGTCCTGGGCGTTCACACAGAACAGTACCACGACCCACATTAGGATAATGGAAGACTTCATGTTTCTGAAGAAGAACAATTTGAAGTTTTATTTTAACCGCAAAACCTTGATAATCTGGACTCCGCTATTCCGAACCAATTTGTCAGACAGACGGTTAGTGCTTGGAGCTTCTTGATATACTCCTGGTCTCTATATGGCTGAATCATTGCCGATGCGATGTTAAATGTTTATTCACTTACTCTTGATATATTCGGTTTATGCTAAGTAAGCGAGTGAATGTTACAATATGCCAACTTCATCTTTAGGTCCGAACAATCAAGTGATTGACATTATGAGCAATGAGCCACACCGCCGAAGTGCGATGACATGCAACTTTAACAAATCTACAATAGTTCAGTTATATCAGGGCATGTCATCTAAAAGTGAGTGAGTATGGTTTTGCGCAACTTTTAGCAATATTCCAGCAATATAATAATAATAATGGAAATGTATATAGCGCTAAGTCCAGCCACTAAGTGGGTGCTCAAAGCGCTACAAAATAATAATAATGTTTGAATAGAGTTAATAGTGCAGCGAAAAGAGATGCGTTTTAAGATGTGATTTGAACACATCAACTGATGGGGACAGTTTTAAGGCGAGGGGCAGTTCATTCCACAGCGATGGAGCACAAACACTGAAAGAACGCTTTCCATAAGAGACCAGTCTATAAGAAGGAGTTTTCAACAAGAATCTGCTTTCAGATCGCAGTTGTCTGGGTGGTTTGTAGGGGGTTAGCAGTTCGCTTAGATATTCGGGTGACATGCCTTACAGACTCTTGAATGTGATACAGAGTACTTTAAATACTATCCTTGCCTCAACCGGAAGCCAGTGTAATGACTTCAGATCATTAGACTTCGCAGTCTTTGCGAGGATTAAAGATTAAAAAGATATTGTTACACTGTGAAGCATTTCGAGTCGGGGGTCATCTCAAAAACAATTTTTAAAAAATCTTTAATCCTCGCAAAGACACGAGGGCCTGTGTTCAGTATCGGCGTAATGTGAGAGTACTTTAGAGCACGTGTAACGATTCTTGCCGCTACATTTAGGACATTTTGAAGTATCATGGCGGGGAACACCAGAAATGGGTTTCACACAATCTACCAATGTGGGGAATCGAACCAAATGCTTAAACATTAGGCTTCCCCACCGCCCCTCAATATTCACAAGAGTATTTACGTTTAATGATTCTAGCAAGCAAGAACATACAATCAATATAAACAAGACTGACGATACCGCATTGTATTATTGCATAATTTTATTAAAGATTTTAATAAAGTTAAAACATTGCAGATTAGAATAATAATATGATTTTTACACTTTTTCAAATGTCTCAAAAAGAAGAAGAGTTTTACAATTACTAACATGTGCACTACATAAAGTACAATTTGTAATATATCTTTTGTCAATAATTTCTACTGTTTCAAACACTTACCAGTGTTATACGGTGGTAGATCGAGGAACTTCTGCCGGGGACCTCTGACTCCACATCCTTTATATAAGGACA